TGTATGTCAAATTCTTCCCTTTTGTTTGGGAAGTTTTCTGTCATTAATTTTGTGAACAGTTTTTTTTTAGTGTCATTTGTACTTTCTCCTGGCTTTTTCATGAACTCCTGTCAGTCTTACACTATTCTTTGTATCTTCTAGGAGCTGTTGGATTGATTTCTTATGGTCCCTTACTCTTTTTAAGAGATCCCTCTTTTCATGGTCACTGACCACCATCTTGTCTTCTATATCTGATATCCTGTCTTCAGATTGGCTCAGTCTGTTATGTATACTTTCAGTAGAGTTTTTGTTTTGTTTTGTTTCCTGGATATCTGTTTGAATCTGTTTCATGGATTCCATTTCTTTCCTATGTTGAGTATTCATGGTTTCCATTTGTTTTCTATGCTGGGCATACATGGCTTCTATCATGGTCCTGAGCTCATGTATTTTTTTTTAATCTGTTTCTGTTCTAGAGTCTCTAATCATGTATTTCAGTCTGCTCACCATCTCTGTAGCTATCTGGGAAATTATTTCTGTTTTGAATTTTTCTAGAGCTTGATTGATCTGTTTTATTACTTCCTATGCTATCAGCTCAGGATGTCCAGGTGATTGATTATCAGACTTTTCCACCTCATTTCCTTCAGAATTTGCCTTTGATGAACAGGCAGCCTTTGTGCTTGTGCCTTGCTTGAATGTCTTCTCATTTCTGTTTTTGTTTTTGGTATTGTCCTTGGTTTAATTTCTGGGTTAATACTTTGATCTTCCTGCTATAGCTTTATTTTAGGTTTTGAGTCTTTGATGACTCTGAGGCTATCTCATTTTTAATCAGAACAACTGATTAAATTAATCACAACATCTTAGCCCAAGTAATACAATCAGCAACACAATAGCATCAAGCACAGCTTAGAAAAATGACAACTGTGATAGTTATTAATCTAACACCTTTAACTTTAACACCTTTAACAAAATACTACAAGCAATGAGAGAAAAGAAACAAATTACATGCAAAGGAAAGCCCATCAGAATCACAGCAGACTTTTCAACACAAACCCTCAAGTCAAGGAGAACCTTGAGTGAAGTATTTCCAGCCCTAAAAGAGAACAACCTCCAACATAGACTGATGCATTCTGCAAAACTCTCTTTTAATTGTGAATTAAATAAAAATTGAGGCTAGAACTCAGAACAATGGACTTTATGACCCCTTGTGCCTCTGTTGTATGAATACAGGTACCAGCCCAGCCAGGAAGCCAGAGACACCTGCAGGAGGTGGGGGTGTGCAGGCACCCTCATGGCTGAGCTTCTCACTGTTCCTCTGCCAAGGCCCAGAGGCGTGGGGCTGTGGACCCAGGCAAGCTCCACATGACTGTGCCTCTCCCAATAAAGTTAATTTAAAAAATAATTATATGGTATATTATATTAACAAATTTTCTTATGTTGAAACATCTTTGTATTCACAGAATAAGTCAAATTTGGTTTGAAGTTTACTCTTTCTAATGTAAGTGATATATTAATGTTTTGTTGAGGAATTTTAAGACAATGCCATTAGAGATACATCTGTAGTTTTCTTTTGGTATCATGGTCTTTCGTTTCAAAGTATCGTGTTTCAATGGTTGTGAGAAGTCATCAGTGCAGTCCTCTGGTTTTGAATTTTTCCTTTTTAAATGTTTAGGATTATTGCTTTAATTTCTTTGTTTTCTTTTTTTTTTTCTTTCTCTTTTTTTTTTTTTTTTTTTTTTTTTTTTTTTTTGGTACAGGGCTTGAACTCAGGTCGTTGCATTTGCAAAGCAGGCACTGGAACCACTGAACTAAATCCCTGGCCCCTTGATTTAATTTCTTGTTATATGCTTGTTCAGATTTTCCATATCTTCTTTAGTCAGATTGGCAATAGGTGGATTTCTAAGAATTTTCCCATTTTATCTTTATTGTTAAATTTGTTTGTCTCAGTTACTTTTTCATTGCTGGAAATACTGGATACCCACATGTTAAAGGAGGAATGGTCTATTTTAACTCACAGATTTCAGTCTATACTTGACCAGCTCCAAGATAGAGTAGCATAGCAGATGGTCATTGCATAAGAGACTAAAATTCAGAAGTGCAAACATTAAATCCCAAACTTCAATGTCCAACACCTGAGGTAATCTGTGGCAAGGTGTGAATTTCAAAGAGCTTGTGTGGTTCTGCCCCTATGGCACTACTGGTGAGTGTACCTCTCATGACCTTTCTCTTAGGCCAGTTTGCTCCTGCACCTTTCCTCAGATAATTCAGATTCCTAGCTTCCAACCTTCGGGGATCTCCACTATACTTTCCACTTCACACTCATAGCTTTATTCCCTGCTCCTTTAGAATCACAATGCTTAGGCTACCAGGCCTTCTGAAATCTTGGTGGAATCCTTTCAGGTCCTTCAATTTTGGATTCTGCTTATACCTAAAACTAGCACCTTGCAGGTGACAAAGTTCTGCTGCCAGCTGGACCAGTAGATAGCTCCCCCCCTCCCTCTCTCTCTGATACCAGGAATCAAACTTGGGCCCTTGTGCTTGCGAGGCAGGCAGTGGAACCACTGAGCCAAATCTCCAGCCCCCATCTCTCTTGATTGTAGAAGTTGAGTACCTGGATTGCTCTGTGCTATGAACCCAGTCCCAAGGAACAAATTCCCTAGGCCACCACTATTCTGGAACATGCTGCCCTGTAGTTCTTGGAGTAAAGGGAAGTCTTTCAGTTTTACAATTCTGAAGCTAAAAAAGGTGAAGTCTTGTTGGGTTTTGTGAAGCCCTCAGGCCATCTTTTCTATTGTCCTTTTCCAAATCACTGGGCTTTTAAATGCTAATCATTTCAGAGCCAAATTCCTCTCTGTTCCACTTTTGCAAGCCATAAATTTGCCACTCAAAACTTTTAAAATCATTCTCCTGGGACATTTGCTGTTGATTCTTAAGGTACAGCTGACCAACAGCCCCCACCAGTAGCCATACTACTGCCTCAATGTTAGTCTGACTTGAAATTTAACGCCCTAGTTTACTTAGTCCACTGTCCTTAATCTCAGTCTCCCACAATGTGTCTGGACAAGAGCAAAATGCGACAAATTTTCTGTCAAAGCATAACACAAATGGCCTGGAGTCCAGCTACCAATGAAGTGAAGTCTGTTCTTAACTGAAACCTTCTGAGATTCTGATCAGAATTGCTCATTAAGCTTGGTTTACAGCATTCCAGGGTTGCATCTGAAACCAGCATTTCTAAATACTTCCAAACTCTTCCTATTAGGTAGTTTCACACGGTCACATGCAGTCACAGCAATGACTCCACTGCTCACAGTAGCAAAATTAGTCTTAGTTACTTTCTTGTTGCTGGAACAAAACAGGATAAAGGAGGAAAGATTTATTTTAGCTCACATTTTGTAGAGATTTCAGTTGATAGCCAGCTCCAATACACAGTGGCATGGTACAGTGGCATGGTACAGCGGCATGGCAGAGGTGAAACAGTTCATGATGCTGAAGACAAGAAGTGAGACATTGTTCTTATTTCACTTTTCATTCTATCAATGCTACAAGCTTATTGGTTGGTGGCACCAACATTCAATGTGGGTCTTCCCTCACAGTAAGTCCATCATACACACCCGGAGCTATGCCAAACCAATCGGTGGACTGATCCAGTATTACACATATATTACCCAGTCACTCTCAAAAGCCCCATCTGTGAGTGTGTGAGGCTTTCGAGTGACATGCAGATATAAGCTATAGAATTGCTTTACAATTTTTGGATCTTGAATGTTCTGCAAAACACATGCATTAAAGATTCCATCCTCTGCCTGTGGAACTATAAGGTGGTAATGGAATCTTTAGGAGGTGGGATGTAGAGGAAGTTAGATCAATGGAGACTGGAGATGCACTCTTGAAGGGGAGAGTGGGATACTAGATTCTTCCATTGCTCTTTGCTTCTGGACTGCCTTGAGGTGAAAAGACTTCTTCTGCTGTCTACCCAACTATGATGTACTGTGCTATCACAGACCTAAGGCAGTAGTGTCTACCATCCATGGCTTGAAATGTCTTAAATTGTGAGCAGTAATAAGTAGTTTTCTTTATTAATTTGATTTTCCCAGGTATTTTTTCAGAGCACTGGTAAATTAAGAAAACAGCTTTACAAAATAGCTTTTCAATTTCTGTAAGATTGGGAGTAAAGGTCTTGGTTTTGATTTTTAAAGTTTTTTTTTTTCATTTTTATTTTTTAGTGTCACAATGGCAATTAAATTTTATTTTTTAATTAAGTTTATTGGTATATTTTAGGTATACAGTACCCTTATATTCATTATTGGGATCTTGTACCTTTACGTGACAGGTTAGATTTTAATTTTAATGATTTTCATATTATCTCTTCTTAGATTTGGTAAGGGTTTGTCAGTTTCACTGACTTTCAAAGAATCTACTTTTGGTTTTGTTCAGGATACTGATGTTGAGATAATATCTTCACCCCAGTGAGATACGTAAAATTCAGGAGTAAGTTTTGAATGCTTGCTAAAGAAATTAACATTTGGAGAATATCAATTTTGCAGCTGTAAAATCTGAGTCAATTACTTCAATAACTGGTATAACATCTTTGTTAGTTTGTAAGTAGTTATTTTCTTCTCCCATGTAAGTACCCATCAGCCTCTTTACAACTGTCAATAGGTTGGAAGATATTTAAACATGTTAATGAAGCTGAGATATTATAATTAGGTGTACATTGTTATTAAGGAAAGGCCTTAGAGTCTGATGGTGTCAAGGAGATAGTATAAAAACTGTAGCTTTTGCCAGCTCTCTCTAGCAATTTACTCAGAATGATATTGTTCTCTTGGATTCCACTCCTTTGCCAGAGGTAGATAAAAGTATTCTAAATATGTGCAAGGCTTATAAAACACAAACAAAAGAACACTCAAACACTTCAAAGCGGACACAAATAAGAAACTAAGCCAGCTGGTAAAGCCAACTAGGAAAGTGTACTGATGCATATTTCTTGGTTTCTTTCCAATAAGAATTCTGTTTTGTTGTCTTAGGTCTGTGGTTGTTGGATATTTTCCAGCTGTCATTCTGAAATGGAGATGGACCATCCAGGAAGCTCACTCCCAAATTACCCACAAAGCAAATAAAATTAGAATCAAACCTTTTATGAAGTTGAGAAAAACAAAAATGAAGAATCATGTTAAAGTATGTACTTTTCATTTCAAAGAACTTTGTTTTTCTGACGTCCACTGGGGCAGATGTGTTGAATTTCTGAAGAGTGTATTCATCTGATACATTATCCAAATATCTATAAGCCAAATTATAATTTTAGAAGATGCCAAAATTGTAAGTGCTCTTAAAAGAATTATAGTTTCCATCTTTTACAACAAAATATGTCTGGTTTTAAGTTTTGATATATTATATCAGGGATTGACCTAAGGTCCTTGTGCTTGTGGGGCAGGCCATGAAACCACTGAGATAAATACCCAGCCCACTAAGATATATTTTTTGAAACAAATTAAAGAAAAGCAGAATGTTTATGTTCGTTTTTTATCGGTGTTGCTTTCTATTTAGTTTTTTTGCCTTTCACCATCCATTAATATGTCCAGTAAAAACAAGAATATCAGGGATTGACCTAAGGTCCTTGTGCTTGTGGGGCAGGCCATGAAACCACTGAGATAAATACCCAGCCCACTAAGATATATTTTTTGAAACAAATTAAAGAAAAGCAGAATGTTTATGTTCGTTTTTTATCGGTGTTGCTTTCTATTTAGTTTTTTTGCCTTTCACCATCCATTAATATGTCCAGTAAAAACAAGAAAACAAAATAAAAATAAAATAATGCTTCCAAAATGTAAGAAGTTTTCAAAATACTCTGGGAAAGAAAAAATTTTAAGAAATAGTATTACTTTATTTGCCCATGCTAGACTGAAACTTCTGGGCTCAAGCAATTGTCCTACCTTAGCTTCCCATAGTAGCTGGAACTATAGGTGCATGTCAATACACACAGATCTATAAATGAAATTTTAGAGTTTTTCTCCTTCCATATATGTGTGTGTGTGTGTGTGTGTGTGTGTGTGTGTGTGTGAGAGAGAGAGAGAGAGAGAGAGAGAG